AGGGGAAAAATGGTTTTTGGTTTTTTTGGGACACATCCAGTGATGTTTATGGGCTACTACTGGCTCTGCACTCAGATCACTCCAGGCGGTGCTTGGGGAACCATATGGGATGCTGGACATGGAACCAAGGTCAGTAATGTGAAAGGCAGGTGCCTTACATGCTACACAATAACTCAGGCCCCTAATTTTTTTAAAAGTTGGTGTTTTGGGGAGGCCACACCAGCAGTGCTCAAGGTTTACTCCTGGCTCTGTGTTCAATCATCATTCTGGATGGTGGATCCTATGTGCTGTAAGGAATTGAACCCGGGTAATCGCATAAAGGCAAGCATCAAGGCCTTGGATTTCAATTCTATACAGTTTATTTTTATTTATTTTGCTTTTTGGGTAACACCTGGTGATGTACAGGGGTTACTCCTGGCTCTGCACTTAGGAATCACTCCTGGCGGTGCTCGGGGGACCCTATGGGATGCTGGGAATCGAACCTGGGTCGGCTGCATGCAAGGCAAACGCCCTACCCACTGTGCTGTTGCTCCAGCCCCTCAATTCTATACAGTTTTTAAAATCAGAAAATTCTTTTCCTATATATATGGGTTGCCACTGAAGTATAATTTGATGAAATGAAATCCCCTCTATTCCCTCTCATAAATTGATATGGGAAAAAAAAATACTGGGGCTAGAGGGAGAGCAAGCTTGGGGTTAAGGCACTTGCCATGCACACAGACAATCCGGGTTTGGTATATGCCACCGCATCTGGTGTCGTGAACACCCAAAAGAAGGAAATGCTAGTAAAGAAATTTTACAGGTACCATAGGTCTCTGATTAAGTGGCATTAGTATGTGCCTATAATTAATACTGGTGATTTTCTTTCAGTTTCTTATATCCAAGACCCTCAGGGAAGCTCCTGCTATTTTAAATGGCTGGGAAAACCGTGTCATTGGTGTAGAGACAAGTCTGGCTCTTTGTTCCATAAGAGATCATGTGTCTAATAGCTTCTCTATGTCATCCTATGTCACAAGGTATCAGACTTACATAAAACGTCTTAAAGTTTCAGGTCACACCAGGCTGGATAAATTAACTTAGGCTTTCCCAAGGGGTTCTTTTTAGTTGTGATTTTTTTCTTGGGGGTGCAGGCGGCAGGGACATACTTGTGGTGCTCAGGAGTGACCCCCGGCCAACTTCTGGAGATCCTCTGACATACTGGGGATCAAATCAGGTTGGCTGCATACCAGGCAAGCACTTTATCTCCTGTCCTATCTCTTCGTCCGCAGCCAGAGATTCGGACATTCCAACATTCTTGAATAGTGAGCCATATTCTCAGAAAGCAGCTGACTAGAATGCTTACATTCAAATGAAATTTTGCACTTTGGGGGCCAGAGGGTGCAGTGGGAACGGTGCTTGCGGGCACTTGGCTAACCCTGGTTCGATTTCTGGCATCCCATATGGTCCTCCAAGCCCACCAATGGTGATTCCTGAGTGCAGAGCCAGGAGCAACCCGAGAACAGCTGGGTGTGGCCCCAAAGCCAAAATAAGTTATGTACTTTTTTTGGGATTTAATACCATAATGGGTAGAAATAAGGTAAAATGAACATTTACAAAAACTGTACTTAGTATCTACTAAAAAACCTCCAAGAACTGTGTTAAGCCTTGAAAAATCTGTTACTTATAATGACATCCTTGTAGAAATTTTTTTTTGGTGGGGAGTGTGGGGGGTGGTGGAAGGGGACTTGGGCCATACCCTTACGTACTCAGGTCTTTCTCCTGGTTCTGTGCTCAGGGATCACTCCTGGTGGCGCTTAGGGGGACCGTATGTGGTTGTTGCATAACATTGATTTGTCCTTGCTCCTCCCGGGGAGAGTTTAGGTTTAGTTACTCCTATCACAGTGCTCCTGAGGCACATCAATTTCATCAGGCACTCGTAACCCTGTATTTTTCTCTTTCCTTTGTTCTTTGCATTGTTTAGCAATCTTTTTTTGGATAGACACAGGAAAAGTTAATGCTATGCTTTTATAACATGGGAGTTAAATGATTCTGAATAATATTTACTCCTGGGTATCCATCATATTTACTTAAGCCACAGTTGCCCTTACTTCCTAACACCATTACCCCTCCCCAAAGGAGGGTTCTGGCGAGGGACTTGGATGGACCCAGGGCAAGCAGTAAACTACCCTGGCATCGAAAAGGGACAAGTTAAGTGCCATAAGAAATATAAGTTAAGAGTATGGTCATGGAACAAACTCTGTCATGACCCCAAAAGAAGTAATTGATGAACCCTACTGTTATTAAGAAAGACTAACCTGGCCTGGGGACTGTTGTCAGGGAAATACAGTGAGATGTCCCCAGGAAGAGCCACCCTTTAAGCTTAATATATCTCTTACTGTGCTCCTGTACATTGACAAGAAATATTAGTAAGAAGTAAATTGAACATGATAGTTTAAATGGATTACTAGCTGAAGGAAAGGAGAAAGCAATATGCCCTTAAGATGGAATCCCACCCTTGAGTGGATCTCCTAGCAATCTAGAGTGCTGAACCCACAAACGCGATTTTGTCCCTGAGTTAATCTCCTAGAGCTTCCCCTGAAGGAGGGGCTTTACATCTGTTTAATGTAATGTTTAATTCCACCTAGGGGGCTGGAGTGATAGCACAACGGATAGGGTGTTTGCCTTCTGCGCGGCCTACCTGGTTTGATTCCCAGCATCCCATATAGTCCCTGAGCACCGCCAGGAGTAATTCCTGAGTGCAGAGACAGGAGTAACCTCTGTGCATCGATGGGTGTGACCCAAAAGGAAAAAAAAAATCCCACCTATGAGAACTCCACCCTTTTCTACATAACCAATACTGTAAAAATAACTGTTTATTTTTGGGGAGGGTCATTTTATTGTTCATTGCTGTTGGCTGAGAGAATGGTTCTCTTGGCGACCAAACACACACGTCCCACACCACAGTTTGAACTCATGTGGTATTGGGGAATCAGAATCAGGCTGGCTGTGTGCGAGGCAAGTGCCCTACCCACTATACCATCCCTCTGGCTCTGGATGTGAGTTTTAACCGAAGGAACATTTTCATATGGAAGCTTTAAAACATGTATTTGGTCTTGATGCAGTTCACCTGGCAACTTTTTAAAAAAATTATTTTAATGAGTTTAATAACTACCGTGAGGCAGTTAGAGTTACAAACTTTCGTGATTATGGTTCAGTCATACAATGATCGAGTATCCATCCCTCCACCAGTGCCCATTCTCCACCACCAATGTTCCCAGTATCCCTCCCGCCACCCTCACCCCTTCCCACCCCCTGCCTCTGTGGCAGGCACATTCCCTCTTACTCTCTCCTTTACTCTCTCTCATTTTGGGTGTCATAGTTTTCACCTGGCAACTTCTAAGGGGAAAAAATGCACATTTTCCTCTGTCAGCTTTTTTTGTGGGATACTCAAAGATGGACAGCCCTGTCCCAACAGGCTTTTGAAGCAGTTGAAATTCCAACTCTCTTACTAGTACACAGTAAAGGAGAAGGAAAATCAAGACAAGTGGCTGAGATGTCCGAGCTCGTCACCCTCAAGATCACAGAACCTTAATAGAGGACACGGACCGAATCCCGCACAGTGGACGGCAGACATCACTGGGTTTGAAGCTGGAACTCCATAATTAACAGAACTTTCATCCCCTGTGTTATTAAACCTCTGGCATGAGCACAGAGAATCAGAAACGCTTAAAGCCAGGGCACACTGCCTGCTTTTTGTTTAACAGCGCTGTACCTATAGATTCCATTTCCAGATCAGGCCTGTAGTTAAGTTGGATCGATTGAGTTGGATCGATTGGATCCACGACCTGTCCAGTTAAAGGAGACTCTGTATCAAGCCCTATGGGTGGGTATGGGATGCTGTGGGTGGGTTTCACCCTCTTCCTAGGGTTGGGCTAGAATCAGGTCGAGCACACATTTTTGTGTGTGTTGCTGTGCCCAGGACTTTGTGCTCAGGGATCACTCCTGGAGATGCTCAAGGGCTCAAACACGCTTCCATCCTATGCCTGGCAAGACAGAAACTCCTCACCCCTTGCGCTCTCTCTCTCAGCCGAGCCCACTCGACTGGGCAAAGCCTCTCTCCCCAAAGCTGTTTGCAGAAGGCAGACGTGGAGCTGGGGGCTTGGTGAGCGTGGCTGCCCAGCAAGGTGCCCAGAGCTGGTCCCGCGGCTGATGGAGCGGTGGGGCTCCTGGCAACTGCACTTTCCCCGAAATGCAAAGACACCTAATGATCACCGGTTTAAGTTAAGCTGCCCAAATATTTTTTCCTTTTTTTCCTTCAAGGTCGGCCTTGCATATGCACTTCTCCACGCAGGGGGTCGACCTGCAGGGGTCTCACCAGATTCTCAAGGCTGCATGCCTGAGCGCCATGAGATTCATGAGATTCGACGATCACGGAGGGAAGAGCAAAAGGGGCGTCCAAGCCCAAGTGTTTCCGATGCCAGCTGCAACCTCACCTTCCCGACCCAGGCCCGTGTCCCGGCTTCTCTGCAGGTCCTGGAGGACCCCCGGGAGGAGGGGGCGCGGTCTTTAGGCTCCGGCACCGAGGAGGCGCGATTCCGCGGCTCATCCCGCAGCTCAGCTCTCGGAGACTCCAGGGGACGGTCCCAGCCCCACGGAGACGCGGCCAAGCCGCGGCGGCAGCTGTCACTCACCTGACAGCGAGCAGGAAGCGGACACGCCCCGCCGCGCTTCCCGGGCTCGGCCGCCGCCGCCGCCGCCGCCGCCGAGCCCGCGGGGGAGCGAGGAGAAAAACAGGAAATGACGCAGGCGCACGTGCTTCCGAGCGGGGCGGGCCCGTCGAGCCGGAGGGTGGGGGGAGGGCGCGTGGCGGCCGCCCGGCGCCTGCGCCGTGGCCGCGGGCCGCGCTGCCGAGTCACCGGGGTGGGCGGGGCGAGCGGAGAGGGGCGGGGGCGCGCGCGCGGCGCAGGCGCAGTGCTTCTCCGGAGGCGCGGGCCGCCCCCCCCCATCCCCGCCACCCGGCCCCCCCGCCCCGTCCCCGGCGCTGGTTTGGATCCGGGTCAGCCGGGCGCCGCGGTCGCGGAGAGGCGAGCCCGAGTGCGGGGACCGGGGTCGGCGGCGCGCCGCCCGCTGCGTGGAGGTGAGTGAACCGGGCGCGGCGGGGAGGAGCCGCGGCTCGGCGCCTCGGCCCTGCGGGCGGTTTCCGCCCCCCACGGCGCGGGCGGGGGGGGGGGACGCTGGGACGCGGCGGCGTCGCAGCGGCCGGGGTCGCCGTCGCCGCGGCGTCGGGGCCGCTGGCGGTCGGCGCCGGGCCCGGGCCTGGGGGCTTCCCGGGCGCTTCCCGCCTTCCCGCCGCCCCGCTCCGCCCCGCCGCGCGTCTCCCGCCGTCGCTTCCCCTTTCGGGCCGCCCTTTGCCCCCTTCCCGCCCGTTCCCGCCCGTTCCCGCCCCGCCACGACCCTCTGGGCGCCCCCTCACCCCCGTCCCATCCCCCGGGCCGGGCCGCGGGAGTGACCGCGCCAGGCCGGTGCGCGCAGCCCCGGGGCGGGCAGACCCCCACCCCACCCCACCCCACCCCACCCCTCTTTCCCAGGCTCTGGACCGCTCCCCCGGCCCCGGGCCCCGGGCAGTGGGCAGCGGAGAGCTGGGCCGCGGCCGTCCACCCCCCCGACCCCGCGAGGTCCCGAAAGCCCCCCGGGGACACGATTGTGATGCCGCGCCGCGGACGAGCGGGGCCTCCCGCGGGGAGGACGGGGGTCCTCGGGGCTCCCGGGCAAAGGGTCTCCCACCCTGGGAGTGTGACGGCCCGATCGCCACGGCCCGGCTTCTCGAGCGGTGCCCGTGCCAGTGGCCGGCCAGGCGCTGGGCGGGCCGGAGGGAACTTGCGGTCCCTTGGTGGAGGGGAGTTTTTGGCACCGGCGGCGGCGGCGGCGGCGGGATTGGTGCTGGACCAATCCTGGGTCTAGAATCCCGGCTCGCAGGGACTTTGTGAATCACAGTTGTTGAAGCGCAGTTCATTTTAGTTTTTTATTTTTTTGTGTGTTGTTGGTGTTGTTTTGGGTCACACCCGGCGATGTTCAGGTCTTCCTCTTGGCTCTACACTCAGGAATCACCCCTGGGTGGTGCTCGGGGGACCTTATGGGATGCCCGGGGATTGAACCCACGTGCAAGGCTTTAAAAAGCCTTAACCGGCTGGACTATCACTCCTACTCCTAATAACACGTAGAAGGGCGATCCATCCTGTGTTGGTTTTTTTTTTAAAAAAAAAAAAACAAACAAACCTGCAACATCTAAATGAGATCATCACACCTGCTGTCCCGTTGGTGGGGAGAACTAGAGTTCTTTCTCTCTGATGGATGAACTTAGAAATTGCCCCCTTTTTGAAAAAGTTGGTGGAAACCCGAGGCAGGATTTTGCGGTTTCACCTAAAACATAAGTTTACACAGTATCGGACCTAGAATTCCCCCCGGCCCCCCCCCCCCCCCCCAGACCTAGAAGTTTTTGATCTAGGCTGGTTGAATTGGAAGAAGTTCACAGCGAATATGACAAGCCCGTTTCTCCCCAAGCAGTTTGGACACAAGGGGACTTAGCTTGTCCTGCAATGTGCCTGAACCTCTGGATTTCAGTGAAGGGGCAGGGTGGGGGCTCTGGGACCCAGCCGCACAATCAGCCTTTTGTACAACAATTTGTAAATACAAACATGTTCGGATTTGATTGTAAGTTTGTGCTTTCAGACTCACCCTTTTTGCTCCAGGTCTCTAGACCTGAGAGTGATTAAAACGATGGATGTCTGAATATAGATTCTGGGGAACTTAATTTATGAACATGGAGTCTTTAGCCAGATTTTAATTTTGGTCATTTTTTATTTTTATTTTTTAAAAAAATTTTATTAGTGAGACACCATGAGGTACAGTTGTAGACTTACAAATTTTTGTGTTTGGGTTTCAGTTATACAAAGATCAAATACCCATCCCTCCACCAGTGCCCATTCCCACCACCAGGGATCCCAGTATCCCTCCCACCCCGGTCATTTTTTTATTTTTAAATAATAGTTCTTGTAATGTGTTAACCAAGTTTGCATTAACAGCCCCCGTGTCCCCTGCGACACTATTAGCCGTGGATGATTGATTAGAAGTCACTTAGACTTAGGTGCCTAAATGAAACCTCTAGCTGCCTAAATGTAATGTAACCCCTAGCTGCCTAACGGCAGCCTGTAGGCACCCTAAAGGTAACCCGAGAAGCATAGCTTGGGAAGCCCAGTGTTGGGCTGGAGGGAGATTCCAATTCTTAGAGGCCCCCGTGTGCCCTGAGCATCGTTCTGGGAGTTTGGGAAGGGTTTGCGGAAGGGTGTTTTGCCAGTAGACCTCAGCAGTGTGGGCCTAGACCCCTGTGTGCTGACTTCCTGAGCATGTGTGAAGAGGTTCAGGGTTCGGGCGATCCATCCTGTGATTTGACTCCAGGAGGGATGTGAGCCTTGGGCTTCCCGTAACGTCAGGGAGGAAAACTAAGCCCTTAGCCCCACCGCAGGATGAATTTGTTTACAAGGCATGCTGACATCCTGTTAGATACAGGGGGGCTCAGAAATACCCGGACCTCGGGTCTGTGTTCACCCCCATCCAGCGCATGACACAGAGGGGAGAATTGGACTCAAGTCCCAAGACTTAAACAGGTCAGCAATGGGATGGATCCGGGATGCTCACGTTTGTGTGCTGAGTCGCGTAACCAGCAGCATCTGGAGGAAACTGTATTTACATTTTTTGTTTTAAGAAGGCAAAGTGAATGCTCTTCGAATTCTTTGGAGGCATTATAAGTTTCCCCAAAGAGACATCCCCAGAATACCTGGTGAAGTGGGCCTGACCGCAGGTATACTTCTGCGGTTGGGCCCACAGGGTCACATTGTAGCCAACATTGTGACCACTGGCCCCTTGGTCTCACAATAACATCAACTCACCAAATCCAGATGTCAGCAGACAGGGAGTCAAGGGGAGGGGGTGGGGGGAGGGGCTAGGGGGCAGCAAGTTAGAAATAAAGAAATAAAGTGAGTCTTTTGTATCAAAAATTGTTTTACTTTTGTTGCACTTTTTGTCCTTCTGATTCCTTTGATATGTTCATTGATGTGGTTTTTATTTTTTAACTCAGGATTTGGAAACTGATTTTTTTTTATACCCTGAGTGAAAAAGTAGTTGAGAAAGCAGATTAAGAACCTTTAATGACAGACCTTCCACTTCCATGCTTTTTTTTTTTTTGGTGGTTGTTGTTTTTGGTTGGTCCCCCTTTCTTTCTCCCACTTCTTTTTTTTTTTTTTAATATAAAAATTCTGGTGGAAGAAATGGGAGAAAGTTAAAAAAAATTTAAAGTTTAGGTGATTCAGTGGAGATCATCTAAAAACAAAACAACAGAATGATGTGTATTTTTATTTCCTATCACTGGACTGTCCTTACCAATTTGATAGCAAGCATAGTTTATTTCTTTCAAGTTTATTTTCTTGTTGATAATTACAGTGTTCAGATCTTGAAAGTAAAAGCAATTCATGATATCAGTCTTCACAGTAAGGTGTGGAATAATCAGCTATTGAAACGTTATTGTAATATTCTCTAAAGCATGCCTTCTTGAATTTGATCTGTGAGTCAGGAGTGCTCTGGAGAGATGGCTTGTGTGTCACGCAGCTACACTTCAGCTGTGAGGGTTAGGCTGGACACTGGCATTGTAAAGAGTCCGTGCCCTACGGGGCACTTTCCCCCCCGTTCTGATGGAAAGCTCTTTTTTCATTTTTCTAAACCTCTACCAGGAGTGAGTCCTCTTCCCCTCTTCCTGTTAAAAAGTCATACTGAAGCAGATTTGAGGCTTTAACCAAAGGTTTGCTCTTGAACTTACCTGTTTTCACTTTCCCCATTTTATTTTTCAGTATTGACGGGAACATCGGTAGTAGTGTAAAAACTTTCACAATGAAATCTGAAGCCAAAGATGGAGAGGAGGAGAGTCTTCAAACCGCTTTCAAGAAATTAAGAGTGGATGCATCAGGGTAATTAAATAGTATATCATCTGGGAATTGTTTACTAGATTTCAATAGCCTTTACTGATAGAGTGCTCTTTCTCGCCTAGAATTTATTCCCAGAAGATGTAATTGCTAATTGCGTAACATTTTAGCAAATTCTACCAGCCATCCTTTTCCTCACTAAAGAATGCTGCTGTTAAATTTTGAAAAATAGCAACACATTTGTATTCCAAGGTTGGACATTTTCCTTTCCCTTAACTTTGAATGGGGCTTCTCACCCTCCTCCTTTTTAATCAAATACGACCATGCGGAGTCCCATCAGGGATTTCCCGTCCATCTTTAGGAAATCAGTGCTTTTCACTCCAAGCGAGTCAGCTCAATAGCGATCCATGCAGACATTGGCGATTTCATGGGTTCTGATTGCTGAGCCTGTCACTATGGAAACTGCTATTCATTAGGGTTCTGTCACGGAGATCAATAATCTTGAACCCTTTGGCCAAACTAATTAGAACACCTGCAGACCAGCTGCTGTCTGATTGTTAATATTTCACTCTTGCAAAATGTTCAGTGCCAGATTCTTCTGATCCCTATACTCTGCCCTAGGCCAGAAGAAGTCTCCATTTTTTTCCCCCCCAAAAATAAGTACATTTGTTTTTGGCCACACCTGGTGGTCCTCAGGGGGTCACTCTGGCATGGCGCAGGCCCTGCAGTGTGGGGAAATCCAAGCTGGGGCGCCTGCATCTCCTACATGCAAAGCACGTGCGTTCATCCATCCGCTGAGCTTTCTCTCTGGCCCGAGAATAGTGATTTTCTGTTTGATTTATTTGTTTATTTTGAGCCACACCTGGTGGCGCTCGGGGCCTCTTCATGAGTCTGTGTGCAGGGGTGACGCTGGGCGGTGCAGGGGTAGCACCAGCTGGGTTGGCCGCGTACTTGTCAGCTGGCCTATCTTCCGTACGCGCCTCCGGGCCTGGAGGAAAAGAAACGCTGGGAGGTCCCACTAGAACGCCTCGCTGGGAATAATAATTACTCTGATTTATTGCCCACTCTTCCAAGGACCCTGGGTTATGTCCTCTCTGTACCATAAAACCTCACTTTACCGTCCAGTTCAGGAGATCGAAGAACTGTATTCCAGATTTATAGGAACCACTTGCTAACTTTTACATTGATTGATTGATTGAAAATGGTAGAAAAATACGGTAGGTTCATAATTTCATTTTGTTCTGGGGCCACACCTGGTCTGTTCCCAACGTGGGCTCTTGAGGGTTGCTTCTGGTGGTGCTCGGGGATTGAACCTGGGCCTCCTGCTTATGAAGTGTATGTTTTGTTGATGATTTTTGCTTTTGAGTTAGAATTTGAACACGACACTTTATTTCTAAAAGTTGTGCACCTAACTTTGCTTTATTTGAGACCTTCAAGGCAACATGAAGAAATGAATACATTCCTGGCATATAGTAAAAATGAAATCGCTGTTAATTGTTTTAGCTGTCTGATTAAAACCAGTACTATTTTTTTGCCTACCAAATAAGATTAATACTAGCAGGTTTATTTGTAGAATGGTAAGAATAGGTGCTCACATTTGTTTCCATGGTACTTCAAACAAGTATCTTTCTCCTCCCAATGGTTTATCCAATACAGTTCTCTTATCCATTGGGCCATGGGGATATCAATGTCATTCTCTTGTCATTACAGTTGTACTTTATAAGACATTTGGGAAATGGAAGGCAAGCCTAGAAACAGTTCCAGATTGTGGTCACAGTGTTCTTTTGTGATTTCTTTTACAGGAATGATTCTTACAAATGAGGAGAGTGCTAGAAATACGCATACACGTCCACTTTAAATCCTTTAGTGGACACGTCCTTATGAATGACTCATGATTTACAGACTTCTGTTTTGTTGTTTGAAGTCGGAACATAAAACTAAGCTAATTCGGGTCAGGGACTCAAGTGGTAGGTGTTGGGATTGACGCCAAGACCTCCCAGCCCCTGGCCGTAGCTGGTGGCCTCGGGACACTGTCAAGCTCCTGGCTGAGCATCTTTGGGCCACATGCTGGACCAGACACAACCAGGCATGACGTGATCCCTGAGCTGCTGGCGGTAGCCCCTGGTAGAAAATTAAGTGATTTCAGTAGCTCTAAAAATTAGTTGGAATATTTTTTAGAACTTTCAAAGATGTCTGTACAATGTATAGTCAGATATATTTGTAGCATGTGTTCTGTGAAATTATAGAAAAAAGAAAGGGTTGTGGGGAACATTTGAGAAAACCTGCGGAATAAGATTAGAATGGGTGAGTCATTAGCATGACTCAGAGAATACTCCCGTGGTGTATATTTCTAGTTATTTCATATTGCTGCTGACTTACAAATGGGACATCTGAGATCCTGACGCATAAACTAACCAAGCTCATGCCAAGGAATTTACTGTGATCCTGTTAAGCAGGTTTTGGGTCCTAATGGTATTTGTCTTATTAGGATAGATCCTGATGTATTTGTTTTGTCGACAATAAAGTAATATGTGATGATGCGAAAATTTACAGAAGTTAGGACAACTTACTATAAACACTGTTAACAGCGGATCCCTCCATTTATAGCACCATACTTCCCCCCCCCCCACCTAGTTGAGATCGTAATTATAGCTGAGTGTTCATGTTGTTCTATATTACAAGATTTTCTCAGGTCCTTAAAAATTCTTCCTAGGCCAGAGAGAGTGCTCAGTGGGCTGAGCACATCTTCTGCGTATAGAAGAACAGGGTCTAATCCCTGGGAACCTGGGGTCCCCTGAGCCCCACAGGGAGCCAGCCCTCAGAACTGAACCAGGAGTAGCCCCCTGAGCACCCTTGGGTGTGGCTGTCCCCACAAAAAGTGCTTTGTATTTAATTATTAATAAGTCCCTAATAGTCTAGTGTATAAATGTGCCAAAATTTTTATAATACAGTCTATTCTTTCATTAGGCATTTAGAATATTCCCAACTATTTTATTTTAAATACTGATTTAAAATAAAAGTATTTTAAGTGATATTTCAGCGAACCTCTTTAGTAGTTTGTCTCATTTTAAATATTTTTTATCAACAATGTAGCATGTATCATAGGCATGGTGTAGGAGTGTATGCATGGTGTGTGTGTGTGTGTGTGTGTGTGTGTGTGTGTGTGTGTGTATACACTGAATGATTTAATGTTAATATTGGTAAAATCTTTTATTATCTCCTCGAAATTTTTTAAAACCATTTTTTGTAGAACTCATTGTATAATTTTAAATTGTAAAGATTTAATTTGGTTATGTTTAAGGTTTATTGTAAAGATTAATATTTTTCTAAAAGTTTTATATTTGAAAGTGCATACATTTTCAGGTTACACTGAGTTTCATAAAGTTTTGCTCCTAAACTGGTCTGCCCACATAAAATGACTGGTCAGCTCCGGGGGCATTCTTCTTGGACGTAAGGCCTGATCTGTCCTAGATAAACAACCTAAAAGTCTATTTATAGCCTGCTGCCAGTTATACTTAAGAATCGTTTTTTGACTTAATGATTTTGTGACTGTGGACTTTAGGGAGCCTCTAATCTTGGTTTTGAAGTAAATTTTGCACTAAAAACTAGGTGCTTTTTAAGAAATCCAACTGGAAAGAAAAGCGAGGTATTCGTATCAGTTGTATTACCGCTGTGAGGACGGCGATCTTCACCTGTCGCGTGCTCCACCACAGTGAGCTTTGTTCTCGTCTTCAGGGCCATAGCAGCTCTGTCTGTCGGAGAAGGCACAGGTGTCCGAGCGTCGGGCAGAACAGCAGCGGATGACACCAAGCCCAAGACCACGTGTGCTTCGAAGGATAGTTGGCATGGGTAAGAGCTGTTTGTCCAGACGCCTTTTCTCCCCCGGTCGAAAAGTGCTGGGAGTTTCTTCCAGGAGTATCTCTAAGTAGAGTGTGGTCGATAATACAGACCCAAGACCCGCTGATTACAAAGACCTGTTCTTTGTGCCTGTGATGTGTTCAGATGTGCCGTGTGCATAGTCGGTTCCAAGTCACTGTTTAAGAATTGATCTATGTGTTTGAAAAGAATGGGTCTTTAATCGCTCTGGGGTTCTGTGGACACAGCCATCCTGATGTGTCCATTAAATTAAGTTTTTAACTATGTTACTTGGATCGGTTTTCAAATAATTTTCTTTTGGTCAGCTTGATCGGATTTTGATCATAATTCAGAGTATGTTGAAATTTCCCTCTTGGAAAAGAATTTGCTTCTTTACCCCTTAAGTTCTCATTTTTGCCTAATTTTGAGGCTATTGTTCACATAGCCTCAGTTTGTGCCAGTTTAGAATGTTTTCTTTCTGGTAAGCTGAGACTGCAATATATGACATACTTAGTCCTTTGGAAGGGCTGTTGTCATAAAGTTTGTTTTGTCTAGAATCAGCGTAACTAACACACTTGTCTTTTAGTTAGTATTTGTGTTTCTGGGCCATACCTGGTGGTGCTCAGGAGTCACCCCTGTCGTGCTTAGGGGGTGACAGACATTGTCCTTATGCAGGGCAGCACCTTAGCCCCTATATTGCTTCTTTGGAAAGATGTACCTGAGTTTGGTGCCAGAGCTCTTGCCTTGCGTTATGAGGCCCCCAGGCACCTTAAGTATTGAAGATACATCTATGAATTTGTATATATAGGTCATAGATACGCCTGTTTTTTATGTATTGGTAGTCATAGTTCTTGGCTGACAGTTACTTGCTATTAATGGAAGATAGTCCTTATCTTCGGACTATTTTTACATTGAAAAGGTTTTTTTTTTAAGTCTATTGTAAATTTTTCTTTTGAAAATCATCTCGTTTTGGCTACAGCAGGTACTTACAGCAGGTAATTCCCTTGCATGCAGCTGACCAGGATATATTCCCCACCACCTCCTGGAGCACCTCCAGGAGTCGTTGATCCCTGAGCACAGAGCTGGGAGTAAGCCCTGAGCACTGCTTCCCAACAAGAAGCTGTTCCTATTTGTTTTTGCTACTCTTCCTTTTCACTGCAGTACATTGAGATGTAGATTTTTCGTTTGTCCTGTGTGCGCCCTGTGTCTGCTGATCTCTGCGTTAGCATGAAAGTCTCTGCCATCATCTTTTCAGATGTCATCTGCTCTCCATTTTTCCTGTTTTCTCCTTCAGAGACTAAACTTCTTGGTCTGTCTTACCCTATCTTTTTTTTTAATTAATTAATTAATTTTTTTTTTTTATTAGTGAAGCACCATGAGGTACAGTTATAGACTTACAAATTTTTGTGCTTGGGTTTCAGTTATACAATGATCAGGTACCCATCCCTCCACCAGCGCCCATCCTCCACCACCACAGGTCCCCGCATCCTTCCCTCCCCTCCCCCCCCCCCCCCCCCCCCCCCCCCCGCCTTTGTGGCAGGGCATTCCCTTTTGTTCTCTCTCTCTCCTTTTGGGTCCTGTGGTTTGCAAGAGAGGCATTGAGTGGCAGTCATGTTTGGTCTATAGTCTACTTTCAGCATGCTTCTTCCACCCTGGGAGGATCCTCACAACACCCTTTATTTGGTGCTCTCTTCTCTATCTGAGCTTCCTTTTCCCTGGCACGTATGGCTGGCCTCCAAGTCATGGAGCAGAATTCCTGGTACTAATCTCGGCCACTCCTGGGTGTTAGTCTCCGATTTTGTTACTTTATGTTCCCCAGATGAATGCAATCTTTCTGTGTCTATCCAGTTCTTTCTGACTCATTTCGCTTAACATACTTTCCATGTAGTACTACTTGTGTGTAAATTTCATGACTTCATCTTTTCTAACAGCTACATAGTACTCCATTGTGTAAATGTACCAGAGATTCTTTAACCAGTCATCTGTACTTGGGCACTCAGGTTTTTTCCAGATTCTGGCTATTGTAAAGAGTGCGGCAATGAATAAACAAGTGCAGATGTCACTTCGACTATACTTTTTTGCCTCTCTGGGATATATTCCCAGGAGTTTTTTTTTTGCTTTTTGCGTCATACCTGGCAATGCACAGGGTTGACTCCTGGCTCTGCACTCAGGAGTTACTCCTGGCGGTGCTCAGGAGATCATATGGGATGCTGGGAATCAAACCTGGGTTGGCCGCGTGTAAGGCAAACGCCCTACTCGCTGTGCTATTGCTCCAGCCCCTTACCCTATTTTTTAATGTTTACGTTCTTACACATTTCAGATTTCCAGGTCCCTTACCTGTCTTCTAGGTCAGGGCTCAGCCAAATAGTAATGCAGTGGAATCCAATGGAAACAGTGCAGTAGTAAGCAGTGCTGACTCAGGCCAGACCCCGGAGTAGTATATTGGAGAAACTCCTGCCTGGCTTCCAGTGCCTGATGGCGGCTACCTTGGCTGCTGGAGGGTCTTAGGATGAGGCAATGGACCCAATTGCACGTAGAAGTGGGCATGGTTCCACTTCTAAAACTAAAAGAGTTAGTTTTTCCTGCCAAATAATACCCAGATTACAGCCTGCCCTGTCTTCTGCAGAAAGCCCAGCAGTTGCAGTAGGAGAGCTCTGTATGTAGCTGCAGCCAGAAAGTCCTTGGGTAGCGATGTGATACACAGCTGCTGGCCAGAGGGCAGACCTGGGGCTGCAGGGGGCCACCCCAGCCTGAGCTCAGGCCCCTGGGGCTCGTCAGAAGGAGCCTGTCGTGCCATGGATGTGGCGGCTCAGTGACCCTTCCCCTAGCTATCAGTATGTTTCTCCCACCCGTTTAGTCTCCTAGGTGGAGGATTTTTTGTTTGGTCTAGCGGGCCATACATGGTGATGCTTAGGGCTTACTCAGGATCTCCCCTCAGGCTCTCCTAGTGGTGGTTGGGGGACCAGATGGGGTGCGGGGATTGAACCCAGGTTAGCTGTGTGCAGGCAAACACTGCAAACTCTACTATCACTCTGGCCCCTCATATGGAGAGTTATTTCTTAACGTTTTATTTGGTTCTTTTTTGTTTTGTTTCATGTTTGTTTGTTTGTTTTTTGGTCATAAAACTTGAACCTCCGCAGTGTATTCAGTAATTTCCAAATCATGCAAACCTCAGACATCAGTTCATCAGCTGTTAACAGTGAGAGAAAATGAGTCCTAAGTTTGCTGCTCTGTGTGGCGATTGTGGCAGAGCGGCCGTTGACGGTGTCCTCCTCCCTGTCCCGCTGAGCTGCTGGACTCAGGGCCAGGGGGACAGCTCCAGTTCAAGGCGTCTGTGCTTCCCCCAGCGCCGCTGTCAGTGTCCCAAGAATCCGGCCCCCATAGCTCAGTTCAGAACTCCCCTTCCCTCCCGTTTCTGTAGCGTGCTAGCGAGAGAGCAGAGTGTTTGAGACACGCACTTAGGCGGCTCGCGCATGAGGGGTCAGCTCGGGGAGACCCGAGGACCGTAGGCGCGTTAATCAGACAGCAGGTGAGCGTCCGTCCTGCTGTCACCTCATGCCTTCTCGTGCCTTCTGCCCTTAGGTCGACACGGAAGTCATCTCGAGGGGTCGTGAGAACGCAGCGGCGCCGGCGCTCCAAGTCTCCCGTCCTGCACCCTCCGAAGTTTATCCACTGCAGCCCCCTGGCTGCCCCCGGCGGCCAGCTCAAGCACAGGAGCCAGAGTGACTCTGCCGACGGCAGCAGCGGCCTGGGCCTCCCGGCGCCGAAGGAGTTCAGTGCCAGCGAGGGGCCCGCTCCGCTCCAGGCCGGCCACACCGGACCCGCGGTGGAGCCTTCGGTCCCGAGGCTCCCGTCCGAGGGTCCACAGGAGGACTGCCCTGCCGCCGCCGACGGCTGCCCTGCAAGTCTCCCGGCCGGCGAGCTCTCGGACTTTCGGTCCGTCTCCAGGCTACACCAGGGCAAGCCGTGTGCCTGCCTGGGCGCCGAGTGCCAGTGCAGGCGGTGGCAGGACATGGAAGTGTACTCCTTCTCGGGCCTGCAGAGCGTGCCGCCCCTGGCCCCGGAGCGCCGGGCCGCGCTCGAGGACTACTCGCAGTCGCTCCACACCCGGACTCTGGCCGGTTCCCCGCGCTCCTGCTCCGAGCAGGCGCGCGTCTACGTGGACGACGTGACCATCGAGGACCTGTCGGGCTACATGGAATATTACTTGTATATTCCCAAGAAGATGTCCCACATGGCAGAGATGATGTACACCTGATAGCAGAGAAGCCGGTCCGTGCTTCCGACCAATGAAGGGTTGTCCGAGGCGGAGCTGACGGCCGACCTCGCGGCCACGGTGTGAGAAGACACCTCCTGCTCACTGTGCTTGCAATAAAAACTTTTCTTGGCATCTCAGTACATCTCCGTTCTTTAAATTTCCCTCCCAGTTCTTACTTGCCCGGCAAGGCAAGCGGATGAAGGAGAAATCCCTCTTGTTTAGAAATGTTCCGGGGTGGGGCGAAGCAGTCAGAACAACTGGACCGGTAGTAGTGGGTGTTTAGTTAAAAACAAAAACCCTTGTAAAACAGGGCGTTTTCCAGGCCTGCTTGCAATCTGGTGACCAAGGAAAACGAAATGCGGTTTTGTAACTGAACTGAACATTGATCATGCTGTGGTTGCCGGCGCAGGCTGTTAGGAGTTCCATGACGACTGGAACCCGCTCCTGTTGGGTGCCAGAGTACTGTGTCTTCAGGGCTTCTTTGTCATCCACTGTTAAGCCAGAGATCCAAGATGTAGGCTCCATATGAGTAAACTGGCTTGCCCGTGTTGGTGGAGAGACGCATTAGCCGTCACTGCCCAACCCCCACACTGGTGCTCGTCCCCTGCAACACGTTCCTGCCCTTTCTCGGGAAGCAGCAGCTCCAAGTGGGCTGCTCAGATGGCAGGAAGGGGCAGAGTGCTTGGCCTTCTGCCCCTCACATCCAGCAGACAAATTTCAGGTAGCTGTTAACTTCTCGTACCTCGGTGGCTCTTGTCTTGCCCAGCACAGGCAAAAGGGACGTGTACATGTGCTGTGTCCTATCTTCTGGCCAGTCAAAAATTTCTTCAAGAAAAAAAACAAAAAAAAAATCTGTTTCTGCTGGTGGCTGAATCCGGTCCTTTTCCGATGCCTCCAGAGTGAATTCTGCACAAACCACCCAGCAGTTCAGAGCATTGTTAACTTACCCACCAAATTCAGTGGAGATTTTAAAGCCATGTAAACATGCCAATAGAAAGGTTTTTTACTTCTACTTATATCCTTAGGCAAGTTCCCCCTCCCCCAATTTTATTTTACAAAGTGGTTCACAGTAATTCATTGCATCCAATTTTCCAACACCAGTCCCGCAACCATAACAAAAAAATCTGTTTCCGCTGGTGGCTGAATCCCGGTCCTTTTCCGATGCCTCCAGAGTGAATTCTGCACAAACCACCTAGCAGTTCAGACACCACCACCATTATTTCGCATTTTCCTACCACCTACGCCTGCTCCACAAGCAGGTCCTAAGTAATGTATTTTGTATGGCTTGTTCTGGATCATGCGTTCAAAATGATCCAAAAAAATTTCCTTAGGGGAAAATGTGTGAAGACTCTTGTGTCTCTCCCTAGAGCCATTTAGCCCTTGTTAAGAGAACACTAACATGTTGTTACATGTTGAGCCTTGTGTGCTAATATTTATTTGTTTCTGCATCGAGATCGATTGCCTTCTACCTTAACCCCATCAAATGTGGTGTGCTGCTCTTGGTACAACAGTGGAGTAGAGTATGAAATCTTGCAGAGCTGTGATTGCGGCCACATTCTAGAGGGATTCTAAAATTTTAAATAAGGTGATACAACTGGAGATGACTTTGGGATCTGGAAGCTTCTCTGCAGCTTGTTGCTCTCTTCTGAGATTTGTGAGTCTCTGGATCAATCAGGACCGTTAATGAGCTCATATGGCGCCAGAGGTGGTTTGTAGGTGGCTGCCAGGCTCGGGGAAATGGGGGGAGGTCGCCCATTCCCAACCCCACAAGAGCCTTTGATTTTGGTCACAAAAGCCACATACCTGCATTTTTCAGCAGATTCATTCTCATGCTTGAGGGGCTCATCCCAAGTCTGTGAGATCGGCCTTGAGCATGGTGGCGATTGGGTTTTGGAGGTTTTTGGCTGCCGGGGCTCGACTGGGGCTGGTGCTAGGCTCAGCAACCCCCTTGGGTGCCCCAGAAATGAGGTTTAGCCTGGTGCAGCATCTGGAGAAACCTCTCCCTAGGTAAGTTTTTAACTGACTACATCGCACAAGCTATAAAGGTGATTTGGTGGTGTTTGTTGTGGGACTGAGGACCACTCCGGATTATGCTGGGGGTACCTGGAATTGAACCCAGGACTTCATACACGGAGCGCAAGTACTTTTTGCCCTGAGCCACACCCCCACCTGGGGAGGGGAGGGCTGGTGGTTCTTGGCGAGAGATCCCAACATCATTAATTAGGGGGCTTTTGGTGGGGAGAGGTGGGAAGACTTTCTAGGAACCCTCCCCCCCCCACGCAAGTCATGAAATGTTCCTAGTTATCAGTTGATTGTAGCTAATGCTCGGATTTAGCGGCATCACAAGCTGTGGTTGGAGAGAGATGGAGAGCAAAAACCCCAGCCTCCCATCCCAGCATTAGAAAGGAACAGATTTCTTTCTTTCAAAAATATTTTTATTACAGTTCTGGTATCGTGGTTCCAATAGTGTTCACAGCTTGTTTGCTTTTGGGGCACACCCAGCAGTGCTTAGGCTGCCTGTTTCTATCTCTGTGCTCAGGAATGAACCCCTTCTGGTGATACATGGGTGGGGGGTTGGGGGGGAGTACACCTCCAATTTCCAGGATTGAACTGCATATAAGCAAGCATCTTCTCCCCTGTACTGTCTGGCCCAGGAATGCAGTGTTCTGAGCCGTTGAAAATCCTGCCGTGTGCCACTGTCCGCGGTTGTCCTTCCAGTCCAGTATTCATTAAGCAGCCTCCACGCCGGCCACACCGTCCCAGGTGCCAGGAATAGGACTGACCAGGGGAGAAGCTTGCTGTTTTACTTGATGTGGTCAGAGATGTTTACGTGCGCAGGTAACACTACAGCAGAGACCTCCAGAGAGTGAGGCAGTGAATTATGCGGCTCTGGGAGGAAGGAGCCGTTCCAGCCCAAGGGACAGCACAGACTGAATCAACGCTGCTTGAAGCAGCACACGAGGCCCGGAAGCGGTGGAGCTGAGGCAGCTCACGGAGAACCTTCTGGACCTTTTAAAGGCCCTGACTCCAACTTGAAATAAGGGGCGGTTTGGAGGGGAGGAAAGACCCGTGAGTGTTGTTCTTTTAGAGTCAGCCCTGCTCGTCAGGTGAGAGCTCATAGCTGGCGAGGCAGGCAGGTTAGGAGACCCTTGGTCAGATCAGGCCTCGGTTGCTGTGGCTTGGACACTTAGGATCCAGGAGAGAATATGTACTCTGGAATTACTTTATTTTATTTTATATTTTGCTTTTTGGGTCACACCCAGCAGTGCTCAGGGGTTATTCCTGGCTCAGCACTCAGGAATTACTCCTGGTGGTGCTTCGGGGACCATATCGGATGCCAGGTCAGCCTCGTGCAAGGCAAACACCCTACCTGCTGTGCTATCTCTCCGGTTCCTGGAATTATTTTAAAGGTAGGGACAAAAGAGTTTGTTGACGAACATAAGAGGAAAGCCTGGAATTAAAGCCTGGATACCTCCAGAGGTTTTTTGATTTGGTTTAGGGGTCATCCCAGGCAGTGCTCAGGGTCACTCTTGGTTCTCAGAAATCTCTCCTGGCTGTGTTCGGGAGGAACATACAAGTACTGGGAATGAACCCAAGCCAGACAAACGCTCTCCCCTCTACAAACTCCCGCCCCTCCGTTCAGCCCCGTCAGAGGATTTTGTTCTGTTTTTGTTTTGAAATAATCTGGGAATTGTCTGCAGGAGCCCATCTAAGGGGAGATGGTCGTTTGCGTTCACACTTGTCAGGACGCTTAGCTGTGAGGTTGAGGTGTGCGGGTGGTCAGCCCTGGCTGGAGACCGGGAAGAGGGTGGAGATGGCCTAGTAGCAGGACGGGACTGCTACTCAAAGTCCCGGACTAGAAGACAGGCCCCACAGATATGGGTGCAGATAAATGAACCCATCAGCAGACAGTGCTGGGGATGTCCCAAGGTCGGGGAATGAGGGGGAATCAGCAGGAGACAGGAGTGGCCAGTGAGGCAGAGAGGCCTAAAGAGGGGCTAGTGGGAGTGTCCAGACCCCTCTGAGAGGGAAAGGCTTGCGTGAGCCAAGGCGAGCCCAGGCCCAGCCGCGTTTGCAGCTCTGGAGATGGGTAGTATCCTCACACTGTCATTGTCCTGTCATTGTCCTCCCGTTGTTCATCGATTTTCTCGAGTGGGCCCAGTAACGTCTCCATTGTGACAACTGTTACTGTGTTTGGCATATCGAATACGCTACGGGTAGCTTGCCAGGCTTTGCTGTGCAGGCGAGATACTCTCGGTAGCTTGCCAGGCTCTTTGAGAGGGGCAGAGGAATCGAACTCAGGTCGGCCATGTTGGCTACATGCAAGGCAAATGCCCTACCACTGTGCTATCGCTCCAGCCCATCCTCACACTATTGGAGAAAAACTTTCCAATAGTTTTGGGGAGAGCCAGCACGTCTGGGGCCAGGCAGGCACGTTCTAGATCTGCCTCCCTCCTGGAGAAATTCCAGAGAAGGAAACAGAAACCGTCAGTGACTGTCCCTGTTCCTTTCCAACCCCTTCATGAAATCACAGGCGGGAACATGGAGCAGGAAAGACCCAGGCCCCGATGGCCCTATGCAGTTGGAGTAGCAGTCCCCCCCACCCCCAGACGCTGCTGTCACAAGAGGGCGCCCTTTCCCTGAACTACAGGGTTTGTAAGGCCTGGGCAAGCAGGGACCCATCTCCCTAAACTCGCGGTCACCTAAGGCCAGCAACAAAACTGGCAATGAGTGCACTTGGACGACTAAGAAATGACAGAGTGGGACCGGAGCGATAGCACAGCGGGGTAGGGCATTGGCCTTGCACGCGGCCGACCCGGGTTCAATCCCCAGCATCCCATATGGTCCCCTGAGCACTGCCAGGAGTAATTCCTGAGTGTAGAGCCAGAAGTAACCCCTGAGCATCTCCGGGTGTGACCCAAAAAACAAAGAAAGAAAGAAAGAAAGAAAGAAAGAAAGAAAGAAAGAAAGAAAGAAAGAAAGAAATCATAGGGTCCAATTCCCAATAATATAGCTCATCAATTTTCTTTGAAGGCCCGAGGACACAAGCTCCGTATTAGAGCACCTTCCTGGCACGTGTGTGAAGCCCTGGTTTGATTTCAACACCGCCAAGAAATAAATAATCTAAAACCGTAGG